CTCTTTCTGCAATGGAGGGAAGCTTTCACAGAGGGCTGCGTGACTCTGGCATGTTTCCCATCCCTTCCCCCAGGACTCCAGCAGTAGATTGTTTATCTGTCAATAGGACTTTTCAGGAACTGGTGCCGAGATTTCAAAAAGCCCAACAAAAAGTATGATGCCCGTGCAGCTCCAGCTTCCTCAAATCTTATTCGACAGTAGCAGTCTTTCTTCTGCGCTCCAGAGCTGGTGATAAGCATCACGCAACGGACTTCCGCACAGAGGGAATTGCCAAACTGTCTCTAACAAAAATCCTGAGGGGGGGAATAAAAATCAGCATCTTCCTGGTGGAGAGGGGAGAAGGAACCACAGGGCTAAACTACCATATATAAGTTATGCAGTAAGGGCAAGGCCTGCAACTGCAGCCAGAGGAGAACCACCACGAGGTGAATGCTTCATACTATGTGACGGGATAGGGGTTCAAGCTTAGGCTTGGCTGGAGATTCCCCAGGATAAGCCACTGTGCTTGCACTGCCTGCTTTTACAGTAGGAACAGAAAGCTGTAGGAAGAGAATTACTGAGCAGTGATGCTATGGAAATACCCATGGCGGGAGGTGCAGGTGACAGTACGATGCCGCTTCTGGTAGGGCCAAGCAGGCGGAGGCAAGCTAGCTGCTACCAGCTAAACTGGGTACATCCAGCATCGTACACAATTCACGAGTTCCAGTTCCTCTTAGACTCAGGGTAGAGATAATTTATTAGACTTTTCTGCATTAAAACCTGACAGGCAGTATAAAAACAGTTAATAGAGTTAAAACTGTATTTAAAAACACTGATTGATTCTTTAAAAACACTGATTCTTTAAAAACTCTCAGCGTGGCTGGGAGTTAAGGAGGTAAGCGCTTAAAGAAAAAATCTAAAGTTCTTGTCACACCTTCTCTCGGTCGTTTTGTACTAGATCCTGCTGGAGTCTTGGCCTTGTTCTTTGCCTTGGCAGGAGACCTGGAAGCTGCAGCCTTTGCGTTGGAAGCTGCTGCTGGAGCCATGGGAGCGCTGGGCTCCGGGAAGGAGCTTTGCGGCTCAAAGAAGGAGCTTTGCAGCTCCAGAGCAAAATGGTAGTCCATGTGCTCTGGGAACTCCCACACCAGCACGAGCTCGCCGCACTTCTCACAGCGCTGCTGGTCCCCCGGCGAGGCAGGAGGGAGCAGGGTGAGCTCAGGAGACGGTGGCAAATTCTGCTCATTTCCTTCCGTAGCTGGCTCTAATTTCAGAAGGGTCCTGGAGCTGGGCGGAGTTGAGGGTGTTTGTGTAGCATCAGACAGCGACATCCCACAGGGAAGCCTCTTGTGAGAAGTAGGGCTCCCATCTCTGGGACTCCGCTTCACAGGGGACTCCAGGTC